GCAGAGATGGACCCTCACCCTCCCACCCTGCACACCTCACAGGCAGGCAGGTGAGGATGGAGGGAGAGAGCCTTCACTGGACAGACTCAGCCTTGAGGACCACGGCAGCAGTTGGAGTCCAGAGCAGCTCTGGGGACAGGGGACCCTGGTCCCACACGCCACGTGCTTAGGGCAGCAAGAAAAGACCTCCGATCCACTCCACGTGTGTGGCGGGTAAGGTCAGAGAGGAGATAGATGGGCCAGCTTCTGGCTGGGCTCAGCCCAGGGGTCCACTGCCTCCTTTGCAATCTATCAGAAAAGTGCCCAAGAGGAGTCCAGAGCAACAGCTGTTCCTCCTCTGCACCTCCTGGGTGCCAGAGTCGGGACAAAGAAAGGCTTAACAAAAACAAGCCCGAACGTAAAACTGGGGTGTACAGCACATTGCAAACGGAGTAGGACCCTATGGGGTCTCCAGAGTCTTGCAAGGACCTTCAGGTAGAGTGGGCAACTTGGTCCTGGACCAAGTTACCTCCTATAGATCAGGCGACCCAATCTCCGGGTACCCTTCCTACAGACAGAGGGACAGTTCAGCTGCCACCTGAACCTCTGCCCTGAATGAGGGATTGCAGCGTCCTCTTAATTGATCCCCGCAGGCCTACCTTTTTGTAAGGTGTTTGTCAAGGGCCTATTGGCCAAACAACCAGAAACAAAGACCAAAGACAGAAAGAGAACTTGAGAGCTTGCCTGGGGAAAAACAAAGTTACCTGATGTGGTACCACGTGACTCAGCGAAAGGGGGGTCATGGTAGATCTTGGGGATCCCAGACGAGCCCCCAAATGTTGTGCCCAAATTCTGAATCACCAAGAAGCCATTTCAATGCACAACCAGAGAGTCTTTTATTGCAGTTGTTTAACGAGTTAACCCATTAGCTTGGGCCCTTTATTCATTCACCACAGCAGGTGGCTGGAAAGAGACCCCAGGAAACCGTGAGGCAGGGATCTTATAGGGCAGCCTAAGGGGAACATCTAGGGATACACAGCAGGATTGGTGTGCTTCCAGGCTTGGGTGATGATTGGTCAACTAGTTGCTATGGCCCATAGGCCCTCCCAGGGCGGTTGCTATGCTCTGCATGTCACTGTTGTGCACTTGTCCGCAAAGCACACCCAGAGCCATGAAGCTCAGCCCCGCCAGCTAACGTCTGATTGGTTCCTTGCCATGAGGAGGGCATCTGACCTCCTAGTGACCAGGATAGGAAGGAGCGGCAAGGTCAGGTGAGCACATGTTAGCCTGTCGTGGCTGCTAAAACGGGGTGGGGGTGAGGGGGTGGGCTGGTCCCTTCAGAGACAGGGAAAGTCCTGTCTGCCCCAGGGGAACAGGAGGAAGAGAGAGCGGGAAGAGAGACAGGAAGAGAGGAGAATGGAGAGAGAGGAGCCAGAAAGAGGCTGACCAGTGCACTCCCAGCTGCAGCCACAGGCAGCCCCCTGAAGTTCTGTGTCCCTGGTCGCATACGTTCAACATCCACGTGGTTAACTAGGGCTTTGCTGCTGGGAGCTTCATTGCACACAGAAGTGTCACAGAGGTCGGCAGACGTGGCAGCCATTATTCCAGATCCTTCTGCATATCTGTGCACAGGGTCGGTAATATTCATAGGGAGGCCTTTGTTGGCCACTAGGAGAGATTTTGAACCTAAGGGGGAACACGATGGAAGCCAGGGCTGGATGTGGAGGATGGCCAGGCCTGGGAGCCCAGTCCTCAGTCCCTTGATGCTCCCAGTCTCAGGGACAGCACGATCCCCAGTGAACATGGGACACAGCATGTCCTGTGTCAGCCAAAGCCTGGGGCTCAAGCCCGGCTGCCTCTGCCCCGCCCCTTGCAGATCCTGCTGCACACAATGTGCACACAGTGTGTCCTCCTCCAGGCTGCAGCCTCACTGTGCTCGCCGTCAGTTCTACCCTTTCTGAGGCTCGGGCCTCCCTAGGACCCTTCTCTGGGTCTGAAGCTCCGGCCTCTCTCTGCCCCTACTGCGCCTCCTCTTTTGTACCTTTGGCTTCCTGGCTGCGGCACCTGGTTCCCCTCTCTCCCCTCTCTCTCTCCTCCCCTTTCCCCACATGGCCCAGCTCGGTCTGATGATGGCCACTCTGGGCTGTCCCAGATGTCCCCGCCTCTGACTACACTCTCCCGTTTATCTCCAATAAGCTTTCTCCCTCGTCGTGCCCAGGAGCAGATAAGCCCTTTCTTTTTATTTCTTTTTGTCATTCGTGTGTTGCCAAAGCCTGGGAGTGGCATACATGAGTTCCCGCTCCCAGGAACATGGTTGTCCTGAACCAAACTGCTCGTCTGACCTCCTAACGGATGCACAGATCATGTGACTCTGCCGGCTTCTGCAACCCACCAAATTTGATTCTAGATTCTGCCTCTCCCGCCTCGTCTTCCATCTCTCCATGCCCACTCAGCAAGCGTCCTCTCTCCCGGCAATGGCCGCTGGGGCCCAGCACATGCGCAGTTCTCCTTCCTACGTCACGTCACGTGCATCTCCCCAGCTGATTTCTCCTCCACCTGCTCTAAGCTCTTGCCTCTCCCCTCCTGCTGGGTAAGCGGCACTAGGAGCTCCCTGCTGTGTCTGCTTCCACTCCAAATCCACACAGCTGTGTCAGGAAGCTTCCTCCAGCCCTACCCAGGCCCCGTTACCTAGAAAGGCAGCCTCTCCCCTGTGATTTCTCTCTGTCAAGTCTCTAAGTGCCCTTGGCGACACCCTGGATTGAAATTCTTGCTACCACAGCGCTAACCCCTTCGGCCCCCACATGGCTCCGCTCAGCTCCTTCCTGGAACTTCCACACCTTGCTCCCAGGAGCCGCCTACAGATCCCACAGCTCCTGGGTCTGTGACCCATTCCTTGTCCCCTCCCCCTCCGAGCCTGACCCGTCTCCTGGTGCCCTCCTGGGCCTTTGTCTTGCCAGTTGCCTCCCCTAGGAGCTGCCTGCTGAGTGTCTCAGCTCCTCTGTGTCCTCAGGTGGTGCTCCTGCTGGCTCCTCCTCGTCCCTTATGGCCACACACGTTAGCATTGCCACTGTTTGCAATCTGTACTGAAATCCACTAGAAAAGGCAGTAAGTAGCCTTTGAGTCAGAATAGAAGCTTGGGACCCAAAATGACTGTGGTTAGAATCACGGCACTCCTTCCTAGATCCAGAAAATGGGGTGTATAGGGATGAGAAGCACTTTTAAGTCTATGCTTAGACGCACTTATGACTATGGGAACAGAAGTCAATGTTGCCAGAGCTATGTGAACAGTTTGTCAGAACTCCACCGATGCGTGTTAAAACTCTCACCTTTTGGAGTCTTAGTACAGCAATAGCATAGTGAAGGAGAGAAATTCGAAGCATCTGTCCTGTTTCAGATACCTGAAATCACTACTTGTAAATCCAGTTGTATACCAGCAGGCATTGTGAAGCGAGTTGCTTTCAGCAACGGAAAGGTAGAAAGCGACTTTGAAACATGTTTTGTGTTTTGTTTTGTTTTGTTTTGTTTTGTTTTGTTTGTTTTTGCGAGACAGGGTTTCTCTGTATTGTTTTGGAGGCTATCGGTCCAGCCCGGCCTCGAACTCACAGAGATCCTCCTGCCTCTGCCTCCCGAGTGCTGGGATTAAAGGCGTGTGCCACCAACGCCCGGCATGTTTTGTGGTTTTATCTCCCTCCAGAGTCTGGTATCAAAGGTAAGCAGGACCGGACCTGATACTAGCTCTAGGAGAGTGAGGCCTGATTTTTCCATGTGAAGAGAAGCCAGAGGACCTGAAGTCTTGGGTGCTGCTGTGACACTGACAAGGCTGTCACTAGCCTTGTTGTCAACACCACAGAGGTCTGAGAAGGATGGATTTCACCTGAGTGAGCAGGACGTGCACACCAAACAGCTCCCAAATCTATTACAATGACAGTGAGTTGCCGGCTCCCTGGACAATCGCCCTCGGTTCCTCTGTGGTCTTTGGGGCAGAGGTCACAGGTAAGTGTCAGTCTGCAGCCTCCAGGCCCAGGAGATCTGACAGACTTTTCTGTGCCTACCTTACCTAGACAATGGGGAGCAATTAACTACCCCCCAGTGTCCTGCTTGTCCACAGCTTGGGCAGGGTCCTGGTGAGAGAGGATGGGCCTGCAGTGTCTCCCCCTGCCTTCCACATGTGAGGGTGGGCCTGCAGTGTCTCCCCCTGCCTTCCACATGTGAGGGTGGGCCTGCAGTGTCTCCCCCTGCCTTCCACATGTGAGGGCGGGCCTGCAGTGTCTCCCCCTGCCTTCCATATGTGAGGGCAGGCCTGCAGTGTCTCCCCCTGCCTTCCACATGTGAGGGTGGGCCTGCAGTGTCTCCCCCTGCCTTCCACATGTGAGGGCAGGCCTGCAGTGTCTCCCCCTGCCTTCCACATGTGAGGGCGGGCCTGCTGCATGCTCTCTGCCACGGAGTCACCCGCTGCTATGATCAGCCTACACCCAGCAAACGGGGAGGCATGATGGACCTTCCATCCCCTAGCTGCCCATTGTCAGACAGACTGGGCGGCTGCTCCTGCGTCCCTAGATTCATTCTCCTTTCTGCTGCCCAGCGGCGTGGAGGTCACATCTGTGGGACCTGCCTTACTCAGCACAGACAGGGGCCCTGTGAGTGTGTGTGTGTGGTATGTGTGTTCCCTGATCCTTCCTCTTTCAAGCCTACAATGACAACACTCACCTGGTATAATGGCCCTGGGAAACTGTATCAGGCCTCGTTCTCACTCATGTCTCTCCCGTGTCAATAACCCCCACTTCCGTGTGACTCCTAGCCTCTTGTCTGGCTGCTCAGGTGAGGCGGAAGTCCTCTGCTGTGCTCCCGCCCCTCCCGGGTCACAGGGAGGCCAGGGCTTTCGGCTGCAGCACCCTGAGGCTCTACGCTTCCACAGGTTGAGAAGACATGGGGCAGACACAGGGAGGCCGGGCCTTGGCAGCCGGTCTCTCAATGGATCCTGCTGAGTGCCATCATCTCCTTGTGTAGAGAAACCCAGTATATGGAGAAACAACAGCGACTTTATTATTTCACATGTGTGGCCAACACGCAGGTGTCAGCTGTGGCGCAGGGTGAACTCAGCGACTCTTGCCTACAAAGGTCTCAGGTTATGACGTCGGAGGGCAGACAGCTGGGTGTGGGGCCAACAGGGATTAAGAGTCACAGGGGAATGGGTTCCGCAGAGAGGACGAAGCCCGTTAGGCACAGGGCTAAGCAGAGCCCCAGCCCTAGCAGCCCAGTGAGGGGAGAGGCCGAGGCACCTCCACCCAGAGGATTTTCGTCATATCCGTCATATCCGCCCTTTGTGCCCTCAGAGAGTTCCTTTACTGAGAAGATACCGATGGTTTTGGAGTCACCCAGTAAGGTTTTGGCAGGTGAGAGCATGCATCCCTGAAGGCTCACTGTGGAAGACACCCCACCTGGAGGGTGAGGAGTAGTCAGGAGTGCTACAGTCCAGTAGTGCTGGGAGACTCAGACCCGGGAATCCCAGCCCCATCCCTCCCGCCAAACCCTGACTCTAACCCACCTTCCTTTCTCCATCCCTGACTCCAGGTCCCAGCTCTATTCCTGACAGGGTTAAAGGCCCAACTCTCAACCTCATGAGTACAGGCCCAGCCTCCTCCCTCAGATCCAAGGCTCCAGGCCCAGCCTCCTCCATCAGACCCAGGGGTCCAGGCCCAGCCTCCTCCCTCAGACCCAGGGGTCCAGGCCCAGTCTCCTCCCTCAGACCTCAGACCCAGGGCCCAGGCCCAGCCTCCTCCTTCAGACCCAGGGTCCAGACCCAGCCTCCTCCATCAGACCCAGGGTCCAGGCCCAGCCTCCTCCCTCAGACCCAGGGTCCAGGCCCAGCCTCCTCCCTCAGACCCAGGGGTCCAGGCCCAGCCTCCTCCCTCAGACCCAGGGGTCCAGGCCCAGCCTCCTCCCTCAGACCCAGGGGTCCAGGCCCAGTCCTCTTCCATCTAAGGTAGCCTCATCTCTTCTCCCTCAGACCTAGGAGTTAGGGTACAACCCTCCATCCTCAACTGCAGGAGCCATGGCCCTGCTTCTGTCTCCCCTACAGCCCAACCTTCAGCACTCACCTCCCTGAAGCACAATGTCACCCTTGTAACAGTGAGAGGTGCCCTGAGGGCAGGAGACAGAGCTGGAGCTCCTAGAGCAGGATCCGAAGAACTCCACGCACACGGGACACTGCAGCTCTCCAGGGGGAGGGACAGCTGAGGACAGAGAGAAGTGTTGGAGGGCACTGCATGCTTTCAACTCCAGCCACCAGCTTAACTCCCGGTGCCTGGGTCCCTCCCAGTGCCATACTCGGTCTAGGGAGGCGGCTCAGCAGGACATTGCTGTCGCTGGCTTCATTGCACAGGTTGGAGGAACAGAAGCGCGAGTAGGAAGCTACCAGCATCCCAGGCGGACTGGAGAATATGGAGATGCCACCTTTGTCCTGTGCCCGGGGCCCTGTACAGCCTTTGCTCCCTATCAGAAGTGTTCTTGGTCCTGCGGGGGTAAGAGAGAGTGAGCTGAGCTGGATGGGGAGGATGGCCAGGCCTGGGAGCCCAGCCCTCGGGTCCCTTGATGCTCCCAGTCTCAGGGACAGCACGATCCCCAGTGAACATGGGACACAGCACGTCCTGTGTCAGCCAAAGCCTGGGGCTCAAGCCCGGCTGCCTCTGCCCCGCCCCTTGCAGATCCTGCTGCACGCAGTGTGCACACAGTGTGTCCTCCTCCAGGCTGCAGCCTCACTGTGCTCAGGCTCACCTCTCCTCTCTGGATTCCTCTCCACACCCCGCCCTTCACACCCCAGCTCTCCCTGTGCTGTTCCTCCCTCCTGTCCTCTTCCCTGCAAAGCTGCAAAGGACTCAGTGGCTTAGCAGAGTCCCAAAGTGCGCTCAGCTTCCCCTCCCCCTCCCTCCCTCCCTCCCTCCCTCCATCTCTCTCTCTCCCCACTCTCTCTCCTCTCTCTCTCTCTCTCTCTCTCTCTCTCTCTCTCTCTCTCTCCTCTCTCTCTCGTCCTGAGAGTCTCAGGTCTTGAACCCACTACATAGGTGAGGTTGGCATTGACTTTCAATTTCATTGTCTCTTCTTTCCCAGCCCTGTGATTACAGGCGTGCCCAATTCACCTGGTGATGGGGATCCCGCAACTCAAGGTGCTGGACCAACCGAGTCCCACCCAGCAGAGCAGTCCTCCTTTAAAGATGGGGTTGATCGGGGTCACCCTGGTTGTCCTACTACTGCTCTCATCTCTGAGCTTGGGGCTACCGCCCAGCAAGACAAGGCACAGGGAGAGGAGAGCCCAGGCATGAGGGGAGCTTGGTGGGGACTGCAGGACACAGAATCCAGGCAGGGGTGGGCTGGCCCCAGGCAGGGGTGCAGCCCTCCCTCCCATCTCACACACCTACGTCTACAAGCAGGAGTGTCTCCTGACAAATCTCCTCAGGCTCGCATACTTGGGTCGCTGATACAGACCACTCGACAGCTTCCTTGGCAAAGCCAATGCCAAGCCTCAACATGGCCCCTTTGTAACATGTCATAGTATCTGTGGAGAGGGAAGTCACAGGGTTGTGAGAGTCAGGGAGCCCCCATGCGGTCCCCCAGCTTCCGGGCTAAGGGCAGCCATCAGGCTCCAAGCCATACTCCCTGCGCCCTGGCTGTGACATCCCTTTTGCTCAGAAGTCCAGGCCTCCAAGCCCGCAGCTCCGTTCACCCTGTTCCTCCCTGAACCCCGGCTCCTCTCAGCCTCCTGAGGAAGGCTTGCTCCTCCACCATAGGCTCCTCTTCAGCCATTCTCTACTCCCCATCTGGTTTCATGTCCTGATAGGCATGAACGGCTCCAAGCTACCCTTACCTTCTGTGTGTGTACATATGTGTGTATGTGTGTGTGCATGCATGTGGAAGTCAGAGGAAACTCCAGCTGCCATCTTGAACAAATTACACATCTCACTTCCTGGCAGCGTGTACTTTTTCCCAATTTTATCTCCCCAGCCTACCTTTTCCTTTCTTATTTATATACTTTTATACCCTGAAGTGTATTTGCCTGTGTGTGTGTGTTTCTGTATGTGAGCCACAACTTTGGTAGCTCTCTCCTTCCAACATGTGGGACCCAGGGAATGAATTTAGGGGTGGTAGCCAGTGCTCCTGATGAGACATCTCAGCAACCCTCGACTTGGTTTTCAAGACATGATCCCTTAATCCATGTTCTCTCTCCAGCCCATGTTGCACTCTCCAGGAAACCCTGTGGCTCATGCTGCACAGTAATTGTGGAACCTGAGCGCTGTGACCACCTCTAAGGCCTCCACCCAGCTGCAAGATGCCAGGGCCTTTGCCTGCCTGTCATGGGTCTCTCTGAGACCCTCACTGTTCCCCCACCCTATTTACCACACGGCACTAGGGTCCATTTAAAGGATAAGGTAATCATGCGAGCAAGGAGAAACTCTGAGAAGCCCCCAGAAGCCAGAAACTTCGGTTAGGTTCCCATAGCCCACAGAATAAAATCTGACTTATTAAAAGAGTCCACGGGGTCCTATGTGACTTGGGCTTCGTACTTCTTCTTGGACATATCCTCCTCCTCTCCCTCCTGGTCACTATGCCACAGATACAGTCCTTCGGGCTAGGGGTTTGACACAGTGTCAGGGACTCATGGAAGGCAGAAGGACATGCCAAAATAACAGAGCAGCTCGGGTGACAACAAAGGGAAGAGGACAGCAGGAAGCAATCGAGTACCAATGTTAATCAAGGACAAAAGAGTACCAATGGTCATCAAGGACAATAGGGTACCAACATCAAGGACAACAGAGTACCAATGGTCATCAAGGACAACAGAGTACCAATGGTCATCAAGGACAACAGAGTACCAATGGTCATCAAGGACAATAGGGTACCAACATCAAGGACAACAGAGTACCAATGGTCATCAAGGACAATAGGGTACCAATGGTCATCAAGGACAACAGAGTACCAATGGTCATCAAGGACAACAGAGTACCAATGGTCATCAAGGACAATAGAGTACCAATGGTCATCAAGGACAACAGAGTACCAATGGTCATCAAGGACAACAGAGTACCAATGGTCATCAAGGTCAAAAGAGTACCAATGGTCATCAAGGACAACAGAGTACCAATGGTCATCAAGGACAATAGAGTACCAATGGTCATCAAGGACAACAGAGTACCAATGGTCATCAAGGACAACAGAGTACCAATGGTCATCAAGGACAATAGGGTACCAATGGTCATCAAGGACAATAGGGTACCAATGGTCATCAAGGACAAAAGAGTACCAATGGTCATCAAGGACAATAGAGTACCAATGGTCATCAAGGACAACAGAGTACCAATGGTCATCAAGGACAATAGAGTACCAATGGTCATCAAGGACAACAGAGTACCAATGGTCATCAAGGACAACAGAGTACCAATGGTCATCAAGGACAAAAGAGTACCAATGGTCATCAAGGACAAAAGAGTACCAATGGTCATCAAGGACAATAGGGTACCAATGGTCATCAAGGACAATAGGGTACCAATGGTCATCAAGGACAATAGGGTACCAATGGTCATCAAGGACAAAAGAGTACCAATGGTCATCAAGGACAATAGAGTACCAATGGTCATCAAGGACAACAGAGTACCAATGGTCATCAAGGACAACAGAGTACCAATGGTCATCAAGGTCAAAAGAGTACCAATGGTCATCAAGGACAACAGAGTACCAATGGTCATCAAGGACAATAGGGTACCAACATCAAGGACAACAGAGTACCAATGGTCATCAAGGACAAAAGAGTACCAATGGTCATCAAGGACAATAGGGTACCAATGGTCATCAAGGACAATAGAGTACCAATGGTCATCAAGGTCAATAGGGTACCAACATCAAAGACAACAGAGTACCAATGGTCATCAAGGACAATAGGGTACCAACATCAAAGACAACAGAGTACCAATGGTCATCAAGGACAAAAGAGTACCAATGGTCATCAAGGACAAAAGAGTACCAACATCAAGGACTGCCTCCCTATGGACCAAGCCAGATTCTGGCGAGCAATGGTGGGTCAGTACAGCAGAGAACATGGCAAGCACATGGCCGACCTCTAGGTACTTGCACACACCCCTGTCCCCAATGTCATGTAGCATCCCCTCCACCCCTTGACCTGGTGTGAGAGGCTTCACCAAAATGTGCGATTTTGACCTTCAAAGGGTGCTTGTGGCTACTCTTCCCTCTGATGTAGACTTGAGACTCTTCGATGGTATCTTCCCGTGACCACTGCCCGGTTCCCCAGAGAGGCAAATAGTGGCCTCCATGATCATCTTTGGTTTGTCTTTTAAATGGTCTACTATGGGCAATCAGAATGCTCACACCCGAGGCTCCCTCCCTCGCTCCTGAACCTTTGCAAGAGCTGTTCTACTCCTCCAGACCTCCCCCGCCCACATCCATACTCCTAGCATCTTCTGCTGGGTTTTGCTGAGCCCAGTAAATATTGGCTCAACTGCCCAACTGAACCCAGTCAGGGATAGCTATGCTCCTCCGGGGCATGGTTCCAATGCCTCGTTTTGTACAGCAGGCGTGAGGTTTCTCTGTATGCCGTGTGGGGACGTTGAGGGGTGCACACACGGTGTGTACGGATGTGTAATGTGTGTGGTATAGCTTTGTATCTGTGTTGGGCAAGGTGGGTGTTCTGTATTATCTGTTTTTAGTTTGTGTGTGGCCTGTAGCAGTTCTGTTGTCTATGAGTTCTGTTGGGGGGGGCGGGTAGCACATGAGGTTTCTGGGGCTTTCACGTAAATGAGAAAGGATCTAAAATGTGTGGGATGGGTGTATGAAGCACAGTGTGATGCGTGTTTGTGGCTGTCGTGTGCACTGTGTGGTATACACAGTATGCGTGGAATATGTTTTCTCTTCTCAAAAAAATGTACTCCCATGTGTATGCAATTTTGCCTCTCTTCTCTGTGTGTGTGTGTGTGCGCGCGCGCGCCTGCAAAGGCCAGACAAGGGTGTCAAACGTCCTTTCCTATTGCTTTCCATCTTATTCCCTCCCTTGAGACAGTGTCTGTCGTTGACCTGGAGACAGTGTCTTGAGACAAGTGTCTGTCGTTGACCTGGAGACAGGCTGGCAATCAGCAAGAGCCTCCTGTCTCTGCCTCCCACAACACTGGGCTACAGGTGTGTCTGTGGACACACACACACCATTTTAGGTGGATGCTGTGGACTTGAACTCAGGTCCTCATGTTTGCATAGCAAATTCTCTTCCCCACAGAGCCAGGCTCCCCCTCCCCATTGTGGAATATTCCTGTACACTGTGTGAAGATGTCACTGTGGTTGGTTTAATAAAAAGCTAAGTGGCCAATAGCTAGGCAGGAGGTACAGGAGGGACTTCCTGACAGAGAGAGCTCTGAGAAGGAGAAAGGCGGAGTCCCCAGCCAGATGTGGGAAACCCAGGATGCGCGTAACGGAGAGAGGAAACAACGAGTTCATGGAAGAATGTAGATTCAAAAAGTATGGGTTAATTCAAGTTATAAGAGCTATTTAGGAACAAGCCTGAGCTAAAGCCGAGCGTTCACAATTTATAGTAAGTCTCCATGTCATTGTCTGTGAGCTGGCAGCACAAAGAGAAAAGTCCATCTACACTCACCTGGGTCCCCGACAAGCCATTTCTACCAGGAACCTAAGACAGGGCGGGAGAGGGCTCACCTCCTTGATGAAGCTCTCTTTAACACCTTCTCTGACAGTTGTGAGCCCCATTCTGTACTGCCACAGCTCAGAATGACTGAGCTGAGATGAGGTGTCTCCTCCACCCAGCCCAGGAAGCCCCGTAGATGTGTTGCACTTGTTTATGCTCGGAATATTTAACTATGCAAAGATGTGTAAAGAAGGCACCTGATCGAATAAAAAGCCAACAGCAAGGGAGGGGGTATGGGCAGGGAGAGTAAGTAGGAGGAGGAATTTAGGCTTGGTGGGGTGGGGTGGGGAAAAGAGATGCCAGGGAGACACCAGGGGCCAGACAGCCACACAGGAAAGTAGGACATAACAGAGAGAAAGAAAATAAAAGCCCCAAGGCAAAATGTAGATGAATACAAACAGGTTAATTAAGTTATAAGAGCTAGTGGGACAAGCTGAAGCTAAGACGGAGCATTCATAACTAATATTAAGTCTCCATGTCTTTATTTGGGAGCTGGTTGACAACCCAAAGAAAGTTCCAACTAGACCCAAGCATTCTTTCTATGCTTTTCTTTCCCACGGAGCAAGGTCACTAGGATTCTCCAGCTTCATGAATGGGAACAAAAGAAGAGTTGGAGGGATGGGGGGTTCATCTATGTGAAGTTGGATATCTGGGGAGACCAGAGGTCAGGGTACGTGAACATGTAATCAGAAATAAACACGTGTGTTCCAGAAGAACAGGGCCAGGTGCCAGGATGTTGACAGCAGCAAGGTGGCCACTGTGCACCCCAAATGTCCTCCCTCTTACATCTCACCTCCCACCGGGGCAGGTCACCCAGGCTCCCTGTTCCTCAAACTTCTTTAAAGCTCTCCTCAATGGGCTCTTGTCTCCTGGCCTTGGGCCACACTCCCTCCCGTTCTCTTTCAACTGGACACCTCCCTTTGCCCCCCCCATCTCCCAACCTCCCCCAACCTTGGAAAAATCACTTTGTGTGCACACGACTGAGTGAGTGATGCTCATTTAAACGGCATTGGTGGCTGGTGCAAATGATAACTTTCAGGGTCCCACACCCCATGAGGTTCACCTTGCTTTGAGGTCACAGTGCACGGTAGGACACTTACTTTTCCCCACGTCCCTCTCACTTATCCGAGGACTGCAATCCTCACGCACATCCACGGGTCCAATTTTCTGGGTGCCGTTGAGTAGGTTGCAGCCTGGCTGGGGCATGCAGCCCTGCACCTTCAGATTGGAGGTGATCTCCCCTAGGACGGGAGGAGAGGGGAGAGACAGAGATGCTCACACACACAGGGCTCACACATGCAGACAGCAAGCCCAGCTCTGGGAGGCTGGTTCCACACTCCTTGAGGCTCCTTTCCTGGCTCCCTTTCCTCCCCAGACACTCAGATCTCCCCCTGCAAGCCTACCGTGTTCAATCCCCAGGGTCCCCGTGTCCAGGCTTACCTCCCCTGAGCCTGAGGACTCCTTTGTAGCAGTGTGTGCTGCCTGCAGGGCAGACCTGCTGGGGTGGATTCTCACAGTCGTCTTTGGAAAAGCAGAGTGGGCAGCGTAGGGTCCCTAGGGCTGGGAAGCAACAGATGGGGTGAGGGGCAGTCGGAGGCTCTGGGTTTGAATCAGTTACTCCTCCTTACTTCTCCAACATGCCTCAGTCTCCCTAGCTCCCTCCAGAGCGCCTCTCAGGCAGGTCTGACTACAGGGAACTGGGGCTATGGTTAGGAGAGCAGGGAAAGCCTGCAGAGACCCTGGGGCTGTGTGCTTAGGGAGAGTCTGTGGGAACCTTTGGGCCACACACAGACTTTGCTGAGTAAAGGAAGGAGGGACCATGGAAGCAGCCAGTGGCTTTACTCACAACTTTTACTAAATAGTTGAGAAAAAACCCCCTCCTCACAAATATTCTAGAACACAGAAACATGAAGCCTGCCAGTTTAACACCAGACAAGGGTAGTGGAAAGTCCCAACCCAGTGTCCAGTAGGGAGAAATGCAAAAGCCCCAAAGGAGAGGCCAGTGAACCAAAGCCAGCCATATGGAAATACAGGGCTGCTCAGCGCCAGAGTGGGAGGCTGGGGGTTGTCAGAAAACCCACCCAGGGGATGGGTCAGTGAGTTGACTCAGCAGGTGAAACACCTGCCACCAATCTGGACATCTGGAGTTCAATCCCCGGGACCTACATGTTGGAGGACAGAGCAGCAGATTCCACTGGGGCCCACAGGCAACCCCTACTCATAATAAAAAAAATGAAAAGAAAAAGTCAAAAACAACCAGAGCCAGAGAGATAGCTGAGCAGTTAAGAACGGGGAGCAGCAGCTGGTGGTGGCGCACGCCTTTAATCCCAGCACTCGGGAGGCAGAGGCAGGCAGATCTCCGTGAGTTCGAGGCCAGGCTGGACCGACAACCTCCAAAACAATCAGAGAAACCCTGTCTCATAAAACCAAAAAAAAAAAAAAAAAAAAAAAGAACGGGGAGCAGCAACATCCTTGGTCATCAGGGAAATACAACATCCTTGGTCATCAGGGAAATACAAATCAAAACAACTGTGAGATACCATCTTACACCGGTCAGAAGGGCTGAGATCAAAAAATGCTAATGACGGCTTATGCTGGAGAGGATGTGGAGAAAGGGGAACACTCCTCCACTGCTGGTGGGACTGAAAACTTGTACAGCCGCTGTGGAAATCAGTATGGTTATTTCTCAGAAAATTAGGATTCAATCTACCTCAAGACCCTGCAGTACTTCTTTTGGGCACATACCCAAAGAAGGCACACTCACACCACAAGGACATCTGCTCAACTATGTTCATAGCAACATTATTCATAATAGTCAGATCTTGGAAACAACCTAGATGACCCTCAAATGAAGAACGGATAAAGAAAATGTGGTACATTTACACAATGGAGTACTACTCGGCAGAAAAAAACAATGACATCCTAAAATTTGCAGGCAAATGGAGAGAACTAGAAAACAATCATCCCGAGTGAGGTAACCCAGACCCAGAAAGACAAATGTAGTATGTCTTCACTCATAAGTGGCTACCAGAAATAAAGCAAAAGATACCCAGTCTACAACCCACAACCCCAGAGAAGCTTGAACCCTCTTCCAGAAACAGATGGAAGCAGATGCAGAAATCCACAACTAACCAATGGGCCAAGCTCCCAGGGTACAATCAAAGTGAGGGAGGAGCAATGACATGAACAAAGGAGTCAAGACCATGATCGGGAAACCCACAGAATCAGCTAGCTGACCCGAGCTAGAGAGAGATCACTGACTCCAGTCTGACAAATGGGGAACCTGCAGAAGACTGAACGAGACTCCCTTAATATAGGTGACAGTGGTGTGGCTGGGACAATATATGAGTCCACTGGCAGTGGGTCCAAGATCTAACTCTAATGCACAAACTGACTTAGTGGAGCCCATGCTATATGGAGAGATCTAACCCTAACCTTGCCCAGCCAAGACACGGTGTGTGTTGGGGGGAGGTGTCTTGGTCCTGCATGAATAGGATGATGGGACAGACTCCCTCTCCCAGGAGCAGATGGGAGTGGGGTGGGGGGAAGGGGGGAGCAAAAAGAGAGGAGGGAGGGGCAACTGGGGTTGGAATATAAAACCAAATTAATAAAAAAGAATGGGGAGCAGGGGCTGTCTCTCACTCTCTTCCTGGATTTTGGTACTCTACTCCTCACGCTGAGTCACCTTGCCCAGTCTTAGCACAAGGGGAGGAGCTTAGCCAAGGGGAGGAGCTTAGCCAAGGGGAGGAGCTTAGCACAAGGGGAGGAGCTTAGCCTGACTGCAACTTGAGAAAGTTGCCATGTGTTGTTGATTTCCATGGGAGGCTGGCTCTTTCCTGAGCAGGAATAGAGGAGGAATTGATTGGGGTGTGGGGGTGAGGGGAGGTGGGGGAGAGGGGCTGGAGTAGAGGAGGCAGCAGAAACTTCAGCCGGGATATAAAATAAATTAAAAAAAAATATAACACAAAGTATGGCTCCTAGCACCTCTTTGGGAGGCTCACAACAATTTGTAACTCCCCCTCTGGGGGATCCAATGCCTTCTTCTGGTCTCTGCAGGCACCTGTACACACACACACACACACACACACACACACACACACACACACACACACACCCCATTCAGGGATACTGGAAGAGGTCAGCCAGGGGAGTCTAGACTCTGTGGGTCTCAGGGAAGGTGCAGAGGAGAGGATGCAGAAGACGTGGAGGGGAAGGGCTAGGGAGGGGAGGGGCGGGGAGGGAGGGATGGGGAGGGGAGGGACGAGGGCAGTGGGCTGTGGAGAAAACAAGGGCAAACGGAGGAAGTGAGCTGGCTAGCTGCTCTCCAGCAAGGGAGAGCTGGGAATGAACCTCCCTCAGGACACACCATCAGCAGCTGGAACTTGCCTTCCTTCCTCCCCAGCAGCCAGCTTCCCCTGAAGCCCTCAAGCACCTGTGGCAGGGGGTGGAGCCCAGAGAGGGGCTGTGGTGGACAGGTCATTGCAGAGGTCTCCTCGGCGGCACACTCGGGTATAGGAGGTGACAGACAGCCCCGGGCCAGTCCTGTGCTCCGTGACCTTGGCCTCTTGGTCCTCAGTGCTTGTGCAGCCTTTCGTGAGAGCCAAGTACACCTGCTCTCCTGGACGGACAGAGAGGGCAGGTTAGGGTGCCCAACAGATCTAAGAGAGCAGGGCCGAGTCAAAGGGGGGTGTCAAAGGGGGTGTCTGTACCCAGAGAGACCCTCTCACCATTCTCTATCATCATCAGGGTGTCTTGGCAGCCTTCACCGACATCACAGGTTGTCTGGCCGGCTGTCCACTGCAGAGGCAGCTGCGATACATCCCTTGTGATCTCCAAATACCCATGCTGGCACTTCAGAGCCTCTGCAGCTAGAAAGAGGAGAGAGAGAGAGAGCAAATCCCTCTCAGTATCAAATTGACTCTGCCTCGTGGGACCTCACTCACAGGCAGAAACAAATGGTCCCTCCCAGTATCTTCTCTCGTGCCGAAGAAAGTGCCCATGACATCCTGCCCATGCCCCCAAGTGCCCAGATCTAGCTGTGGGCGAAGGAGATTAATGCTGGTTGTGCTCACTCAGTCCCCTCTTGAAGGTCTAAAGTTAGAGACACAGGCAGGAAAGGGAACGGAGGCAGGGTCAGAGGTCACTGGACACCCAGTCCACAGGACCTCCAGAGAGACCAGCAAGCAGCCGACTCCCCGAATGCAAGCTCAAGGCTTACTGAATTACACGTCCCACAGACTGAGGCAGAGCATCTGCAGGCGAAGGTCCCCTGTCTTGTAAGCAAGGGGTTTATAAGGCTAAAACCACAACATAGGGTGAGGGGTACAGGTTCAAAGCTGAGTGTGGTTGGGGTGTCTAGAGGAACTTGGGGAATTTCTATAGGCTAATCTTTGGTGCAAATGTACCCATAAAAGTCGTTTGGCAACTCTGTTGATTAACCTGGGGTATCTGTTCTTCCTGCCGGAGTCAGGGCCCTGCGTGCCTATCTGTTAACTGGGTGGGTGATGTGAGTCCGTCTTCACAGGTCATGGGTGAGGTTCCCGTATTCCGTTTCCCGCCCTGTTTCCTAAAATGGCCCTGGTTTTGGCGTCTCAGTCACACTTCCAGATGAGCCGGGATGCCTACTGGATCTTCTTTCCCTACCATGGCTCCCTGGTGCCTTGCTGTGATTAGTGAGGCCACCCATGGCCCTCTGTCCTGTGTGTAACAGGCAGCACACTTATGTACATCATGGGGACGCTGTAGGTCCCAACTTAACTCTTGCCTTCTGCACCACACCTAAAGGCCCCTTGATTCTCTCTGCTTTTCATTTCTATGAAGCAAGGCCACTGAGTCTCCAGAGCTATGGGTGTGGATGGCTGAAGATGGGGGAGGGAACAGGAGTTTATCAAGTAGATGTTGGAGACCCAAGGTTACCCCAAGCCTGGCTTGTGGAAATAGATGGCATACACACCGTGGAGTTGTTTTCCTTTTAGACCGGGTCTCACGTAGCTCAGGCTGGCTTCAGGCTTTCCGTATAGCTAGGGGTAATCTTGAATACCTGATCCCCCTGCCTCTACCTCTCAAGTGTCTGTATGACAGGTGTGTGCTACCATTGCTGGGTTACTTAGTACTGGGGGCGAAGCCCAAAGCTTCATGAATGAGTGCTTACTATAAAAGTAAGAGGAGCCGGGCGTTGGTGGGGCACGCCTTTAATCCCAGCACTCGGGAGGCAGAGGCAGGCGGATCTCTGTGAGTTCGAGACCAGCCTGGTCTACAGAGCGAGTTCCAGGACAGTCTCCAAAATAATACAGAGAAACCCTGTCTCAAAAAAAAAAAAAAAAGACAAGAAAAGAAAAAGAAAATGCCACGATGAAAGCCACCACTCTGCACAATGAAAAACATGACAATGTCAAACTAAACTGAGGTACAATCAGAAAGAAGCTCTTGCTCTCAGGAATGAACCCCGCTGGGTGTCACTGCACTGTCCACAGCATGGGATCCCGTGCAGAGTGAGCACCTTGCCCCCTGACTTTCCTTCCAATCACCCCTCGTCTCCAGCACACACGGGCTCACCCGGGGCAGGATCACGCATTTATTACTTGCTTGTGTGCTGTGGGCATGCGCACGTCACGGCACACTGTGGGGATCAGAGGACAACTTTCTGGATTCTCTCCTTCCACCACGTGGATCTCAGGGACAGAACTCAGGTCAGCAGGGTTTACACCCACTAAGCCACCTCACCAATCACTGGCCCCTCGTCCCCTAGGTCAGTCTCTCCGTGGTCCTCCACCTCCCAGCCCCCAGCATCCTCTCTGGAGATTCTAGTACACACTAGAGAGAGACCTCATTTAAGTGGCTGCTGTGGACAGCCTCTGATGACGGTTCGGGGTATCCCACAAGTATCGTTTTGCATGGAGGCGGCAGGACAGGGTTGGTTTCCCACATACGACTCACCTAATTGAAAATTGCAGTCCTCATGCACACCTATGGGTCCAATTGTCTGGGTGCCATTGAGCAGGTTGCAGCCAGGCTGGGACATGCAACCCTGCACCTTCAGCTCAGAGGTGAGCCCTCCTAAGATAGGAGAGAGGGGAGAGACAGAGATGCTCACACACGGATCGTGAGAGCCTCAGAGGCAAGCCCAGCTCTGGGAGGCTGGCCCCACACTCCTGGGAGCTCATTCCTTCACTCAGTTTACCCTTCCTCCCAGACACCCAGATCTCTACTCCCAGCGTCCATATTCAGTCTCCCGGAGTCCCCGTGTCCAGGCTTGTAAGGATTCAGGCATTTTGCTGGCCTGCCCTGTCACCTGGCAGAAAGCACTCAGGCAGTACTTTGGTCAGCCCAGGGTTCCATGAGTACAGTCTGCACGCAGGTGCAAAGGACCCTTTAGAAGACAGACCCCGCCCACTTACACTCTTTTTCCTGCCCCTCCCTTCCAGTTCTCTTCCCACTCTCTTTCAGGCTGTTCCCCTGGGGCAGACAGGACTTTTCCTGTCTCCCTCTCCTCTTCTGTCCCCTCTGTCTCTGTGTCTCTTCACCTCTTTTCTCTTTCCTTCCCCCCCTTTCTTTTTTTTTTTTTTCTTTTTGGTTTTACGAGACAGGGTTTCTCTGTTTTGGAGGCTGTCGGTCCAGCCTGGCCTCGAACTCACAGAGATCCGCCTGCCTCTGCCTCCCGAGTGCTGGGATTAAAGGCGTGCGCCACCACCGCCCGGCTCCTTCCCCCCTTTCTAATAAAACTTCTCACTTAAGCTTGTCTGCCTGCTTGTCGTCCCCATCGTGTCCCCCCATCACCCTATGGTCCCCCACGCAGGACCCCCACCCTCCAGCTTTGTGCTAACACTGGTGCAAAATAACAGCAAGGCTTACTTCCCCTGATGCTGAGGAGTCCGCGGTAGCAGTGTGTGCTGCCTGCAGGGCAGACCTGCTCCGGGGCATTCTGCGGGCAGCCATCTTTAGAAAGGCAGAGTGGGCAGCTCAGGTTCCCCGGACCTAGAGATGACAGTCACAGTGAGGGCGGTGGGAGGGACCCAGTGGTCCTAAGAATGAGGTTACTCAGTGCCCTCTGGGTCTCGTGGGGGCTCAAGGACAGGAATTCTGCGTCCTGAGGGGCACCATGCCTGAAGGCAGGGAAGCCCCGTAGAGACCCCGGGCCTAGTGCTGGAGCCTGCAGACCAGCAGTGTCTTTTCTGCGTGACTGGTCAAGGATGGCAGGGGGATTCTGGAAGGTACCGGTGACTTCAAAGTCTATTAAATGGTCAAGGAGGACAGGGGCCAATATCCCAGGGAAGACAAATCTCAGAGTCTGCTTAGCCAGCACCAGGTAAGGACAGTGGGAAGGTCCAGGCCATGCCCTTAGGGGAGAAAAAATGTGACAAACACAAAGGAGGCATTAGGGAACGACCCAGCTTAGAGAAAGGGACACTCAGGAGGAGCAGGGTGAGACTCATGAACTCTGAGGTGATTTAACATCAGAAAAGCCACCCAGTGTGCAGGGAAGAGGCTCTAGTGCCCCACGGGTGGACTCATACACAGTGCCAGGGCTGGGGAGGTTGTGGTGAGCTGGTCCCTGGGGCTCCACTAATGGGTGAGCTCCGGGTCAATAGAAGACGCTGTCTCTAGATCAATCGACCAATCGATCAATTGATCAATCGATCCATCATCGATCATCAATCAGGCATATGGCTTCTGAGGCATGCCACCTGTGTCCTTTGGCCTTCACACTTTTGCACGCGCACACACACACAGGAAAAGTCACCCAGTTCACTGCTCTGTGACTATGAGAAGGGCCGCAGAGACTTAGATGTCAGGGTATGCGGGAGGAGAAAGGAATGGATGAAGCTGGGGGGGGCAGGGAGCCAAGGTCCAGGTGGGAGGAGGGAGGTAGGGGGGAATGGGTGTAGGGGGGAGGGGGCAGGGTACAACAAGGGACAGCTTGTAAATCAACACCCTTAGCGTTCTCTGTAGAATCACACAGCTAGGTCCTTCATTCTGCCGTCCCTTCTCCTACTCCTGTGACCCCGCCCCCAGCACCTGTGGCAGGTGGTGGGACCCCGAGAGCATGGGTGGAGGACAGGTCATTGCAGAAGTCCCAGTGGCGGCACACGTGGGTATAAGAGATGATGGAGAGGCCGGGGCCTGTCCGGTGCCGGGTGACTCGGGGCTTGTGGTCTTCGTTCGCTGTGCAACCTTTGGAGAGCACCAAGTGCAAATCGGGTCCTGGAAGGAGAGAGGGAGACGGAGGGTGGGGATGAGTGGGGTCGTGGAGGGATGTCGTTCGTGCCTCGGGGCTCTGGGAGGGCGGCTGGTGGTCAGATGGTGGGTGGGGGCTGGGCACTCACCATTCAGTAAGAGCAAGACAGTTTCCTGGCACCCCTCGCCGATTTTACAGGTCTGCCAGCCGGTTGTCCAGTCCAGGGGCAGCGACGACACTTTCCTTAGGGCTTCTGTCTGCCCACTCCTGCATTCTAGAGGCTGAGCGCCTGGGTGAGGAGGAGTAAACTCATAATGGAGGGTCTCCCAGATTGAATTCCGGGGATACTGGCTAGCCTCCCTAAGCAGGCTCTCTGACACCGAATTCAAGTCCTTAAGTCAACTGATGTGGGCAAACAGATTAAAACTCAAACAGGGCCAACATGGCACAGGGGGTTAATACACAAGCTTGACAACCTGAGTCCTGAGTTCGGTCCCCAGAACTCACGCAGTGGAAGTTTTTCTCTTACCTCCACTAACACAGCATGACTACGTGTGTGCACACCAACACATACACACACACACACATATAACTAAGTAAATGTACTAAAAATAAAAAATGGAACATTTGAAGAATGCACTCAAATCTCTGAAGTTTTTATTTGTGCATGCATGCCTGTGTGTGAGTAAGTGTGTCTGTGTGCAGGTGTGTGAGCATGCATGTGTGTGAGCATGCATGTGTGTGTGCAGGTGTGTGTGCATGCATGTGCGTGCTTGTATGTTTGCAGATGTGTGTGTGCTTGGTATGTGAATACGTATGTGGAGGCCAGAGGTATCTCCCAGCTTATCCTTTGAGACCCAGAGCCTCACTGAACCCAGACCTCACCGATTGGCCAGCCAGGGGCTCTGGGAATTCATCGGTTTCTCCCCTCCCGTCTCCCAGCACCACTGCTAGGGTTTTGGTGTGTGCTGCTATGCTCAGTTTTACATGCCTGCTGGGCTTTCAAGTCCTAGACGTCATGCTGTGTGGCAAGTGCTTTCCCTGCTGAGCCACCTCCCCAGGCCCCTTGAAGCTCTGAGGGTTAAGACCACACAGGCACATTAGGAAACTGAGGCAGGGACTGACGAGACCGCACTTTTAGGGAAGGTAAGGCTCCTAGTCCATTTTCCATCTCTGCTATAACTTCTCTCTCCCTTGCAACCCTTCTGGGGAACTCTACGACCACCCCGTCTGCCAAGTGCGTGCCCTTGTGAAGGCACAAGTAGGGACACTTCCGGATTCCCCGCTTGATTCCCGAATTCTCTGTCATAACCGAACCCCACTTGGTTCTCTCTCTGATTTTCTTTCCAATGGAGGAGACTGCTGGGTATCATAGATGAGGTTGGGAGAAGGTGATGGAGAGACTGGAGGTGGCTAAAATGAGCCCCGAGACCCAGGCTGATGCCAGGTCTGGGTGCATGGGGAGGGGGAAGAAGCTGGCTGTGCACCTGGCACTTTCCCCGAGCCTGTCCTTGCACAAGGAGAGGCCACACAAGCTCACTTGTCCCAGAATTACTCAAAGCTCCTCAATGCTTTTGTCTCCTGGGTCACACTCCCTGTCTCCTTTAAGTGGACATCTTTCTATGCTGCTGCCACAGCCTCCCTGGAGAATCTCCCTCCCCCCTGGCTTACACATCTGAGAGTGATGCTCTGCCCTGGCCAGCCTTGGTGGATGGCTTTGGGCGTCCCACACCCCACAAGGACCATCTTGTCACAGCTACGGTGCAGGGGATTCACCTCCTTTTCCTACCTGACTGGGGGCTGCAGTTCTCTCTCACAAGTATGGGTCCAATGGCCTTGGTGCCATCCAACAGGTTGCAGCCTGACTGTGGCATGCAGCCCTGCACCCTCAGATTGACAGCGATGTCCTCTAGGAAAGAAGGAGATGGAAAGACAGAGACGGGGCATGAGGATCATGGAGGCCTCAGAGGCCAGCCCAGCTCCAAGAGGCCAGCCCTGCTCCAGGAGGCCAGCCCTGCTCCCCTCTGGGTCTTAGACCCTGTCTCTGTTTACCCTCCCTTCCCAGACACTAAATCTTAACTTCCCGTCCTCCTCTTCCCCTCTGCTGGGTCCCCGTGTCCAGGCTTACCTCCCCTGAATCTGAGGACTCCATTGTAGCAGTGGGAGCTGCCTTCGGGGCAGACCTGCTGGGGTGGATTCTCACAGCCACGCGTTGAAAGGCAGTGTGGACAGCTCAGGGTGCCTGGGCCTGGAAGCAGCAGCAGATCAGTGAGGGACAGAGGGAGGTTTTGGATTTGGGTCAGGGGACCCCCAACTCATTCCCCCAGGAAACCTCAGTCTCTCTGTAAAGGCCCCGATGCAGGGGATTTGGACTGTGGCCTAGCAGGGGAGCAACGGTGTAGAGAGTTCTGGGGAGACCCTCTGTCCAAGAACACCAGAGGCGCTGGTTTCCTGGGTGGGGTCTGCAGGGAGGTTCTGAGGTTGGACATGAGACAGGAACTTTTATAGGAAGAGTCGGGGTACCCCCAAAGGGGCCACTGACTTTACTCCAAACCTCTCTTTAAAAAAGAATTTATCGGGCTGGAGAGGTAGCTCAGAGGTTAAGAGCACTGACTAATCTTCAAGAGGTTCAACTCCCAGCAACCACACGGTGGCTCACAACCATCTATAATGAGATCTGGCGCCCTCTTCTGGCCTGCAGGCATACATGCAGGAAGAACACTGTGTACATAATAAAAAATAAATCTTAAAAAAAAGAATTTATCTTTATTACTTTTAATCATTTGTATCTGTGTGGGGGTGGGGGTGGGTTTCCATGCGTGCGTAGGTGCCCAGGCTTCAGGGTCTGAAAGCCAGAGTTAGAGGCTGTTGTGAGCACCCAAGGGGAGTGCGGGGAACTGGACCTGGGTCCTTAGGAGAGCAATAGGTCCCTAACAGCTGAGCCATCTCTCCACTCCCTCCATCGGCTCCCAGCATCTGTCAAATAACCAAGGGCAAGACAGCTGTCCTGTTCTCAAGCACAGGAGACAAGAAGGGAATGTTCTAGACTAAAATTCAATAAAAAGGGAAGTGCAAAAGACACTAAAGGTGACATTGGGGCTCCACATCAGCCTGAGAGGAAGCAGAGGGAGGCAGGTGAGAGCAAGGCCTCCCTGAGGTTGGTGGTTCAGCAACAGAAAATCCAACATGGGAGGTCGTGAGGCGCATATAGACGAGGCCAGCAGGGAGACACAGGCCGCAGCCACGGAAGAGATGCAGGAGGGAGCTAGCAGGCTGCCAGCCAGCAGCATTGGGGTGGTGGTTTTAAACAGCCCCAAGGGTGGGGATGTCACTCAGTGGTCCTTGCCTAGAGTCTCCCAGTGAGGGGCTGGGGTGTGGCTCAGTGGTAGAGCCCCTGCCTAGAGTCTCCCAGTGAGGGGCTGGGGTGTGGCTCAGTGGTAGAGCCCCTGCCTAGAGTCTCCCAGTGAGGGGCTGGGGTGTGGCTCAGTGGTAGAGCCCTTGCCTAGCTTGTACAAGGCCCTGGATCCCAAATCTAGTACCACAAAAAGTAAAAAAAAGTAAAACAATAGTAAGATAAATAGCCCCTGTGTACCTATTTCTACCCCACAGCCCTGTCTTTCCTCCAGACGACTCCTTCCCTTCTCTAGGGATCTGCCTACTCCAGTACCTGTGTCCGGGGGTGGAGTCCAAAGATTTCTAGTTGTAGACAGGTCGTTACAGAAGTCCCGGTGGCGGCACACATGCACGTAGGTGGTGATGGAGATTCCGGGCCCTGTTCTCTGCCTGGTGATTCTAGGCTCTCTGTCTGCATCACTAGTACATCCCTTAGTGAGAACCATGTGAAGTTCCTGTCCTGGAAGGAGAGGCATGCTGGCATGAGCACAGACATCCGGTGTCCTCTCGGGAGGTGGTGTAGAGGCAGCAAGGAAGGGAGCAGACACAGGAGGGGTTCACCCGCTCGTGAAGGAGACCTAGATTCCAGTGCCATGCAGGCGGGTTATGGACTCTTTCCCAGGGGATGGTGGGAGGGGCTAGTGTTAAGGGCGGGGCCTCCTCTTACCATTCTGTATTAGTATCAATGTTTCCTGGCACCCCTGGCCAGCCTCACAGGTACTCCAGCCAGTTGTCCAGCGCAGGTGCAGATCTGATACATTCCGAACAGTGTCTAAGGCCACACTGTTGCAGTCCAGAGCCTGTGGACCTGGACAGGGAGATCGTATCCACCTCAGGGGCTTCTCCAGCTCCGTGTCCCAGGAAACCCCTTCCTGGTGGGACACCTATCATAAACACTAAAGGTTGGGTCTTTTTGAGGGCCATCTCTTGTGCTACTCGAGGCAGGAATCCTTGGTGACATCCAGCCTACATCTCCCGAATTTTCCATTTTACTTGTGTAAAAACATCAACACGGAGCTGGGGAGATGTGGCTCAGTGCTATAGCCTTTGCTACGCAAGCGTGAAAGCCTGAGTCGCAGGAGTCACGGGAAAGCTGGGTGTGTGCTGGGCTGCTGAGGTGGCTCCTCTTGCAGAGGACCTGAGTTTGGATCCCAGCGCCCACATCGGACAGCTCGTGACCACCTGTAACACCAGCTCCAGGGACACCCTTTTCCTGGCCTCTCTGGGAACCTGCACACACGAACACACAGTGAAAGAAATCTTTTCAAAAGCTGGGTGTACGGCATATGCCTGTGACCCCAGTGCTGAGGAAGCAGAGGCAGGTGGATTCTTGGAGTTCACTGACTATCAAGTCTGTCCTAATTGGCAAATTTCACACCTCCAACACACACACGCGCACGCGCTCGCACGCACGCGCGCACACACACACACCATCTCAAAGGGAGGTGGATGGAGTTCCTGAGGGTGATGTCTGAGGCTGTCCTCTGACCTACACACCCACTTGCGCATGGACACACACACACACACACCTGAACACACCTAACATGCACCCAGACACACCCACTAAAAGGAAAACTGCCAGGAGACCTAGGCTTTTCCAGGGCCAGGCAATAGGCAGTCATCACTCCTAAATGAGCCCCAGCAGGTGGTCCTGAACTGACTGTTGCAAAACCTCACAGAGGAATCCCCTCTCCTCACCCTCCTCCTCACCTTCCTCCTCACCCTCCTCCTCACCCTCCTCCTCACCCTCCTCCTCACCCTCCTCCTCACCCTCCTCCTGTTCCATTCAGCACAGCCCCAGTGAGTTCAACGTCAGCGGAGACATCTGTCCTTGTGTCTGTCCTTTAGCTCCAACCTGACAATGCCCCCTCTCTTCTCGCCTGCAGCTGGACATCTCTTGCAGGGTCTATCTAGCCCTCCAGCCGCTCTCTGGAAGAGCCCTCCCCTCCTATCTTGAATGATAAATAAGCCTCTGGATTTCTTGGGAATGGCTGGCCTTGGCTGGGGCTTTGGGGTGTTCCGCACTTTTACAATGATCATCTCGATCCGAGGCCCGGCCTCGTTGCCCTACTCACCCAACGGAAGCTCACAGTTTTCACGCAAATCCAAGGTCCCGATGGCCTTGGTGCCATTGAGCAGGTTGCAATCTGGCTGGGGCATGCAGCCCTGGACCCTCAGATTGGTGGTGACGTCGGCTAGGCAAGGGAAAGAGGATGGGGGGTGGGGGTGGGGGAGAGAGAAAGCTGACACAGCCTTCTAAGTCCCAGGAGACCCAGCTCCCACTTTCTTGTGGGTTCGATGCCCACCTCAGTTTACCCTTGTTCTCCAGTGCCTGCCGAGCCCCTTCTCCCGGGATCCCCGTGTCCAGGCTTACCTTCCCTGAGTCTGAGGACTCCATTGTAGCAGTGGGAGCTGCCTGCGGGGCAGACCTGCTGGGGCGTGTCCTCACAGCCGTCTTTGGAAAGGCAGAGTGGGCAGCGCAGGGTCCCTGGGACTGCAGGTGACAGATGGGGTGAGGGGCAGTGGGAGGCCTCCTCCCACTTTGTTACCCAGCACTCCCTCCTGAGGGTCCCCTCATACAGGCCCAGCTGCAGGGATTCAGGCTGTGGTCTAGTTGGGGGACCAAGGACAAAGGGCTTGGGGAGATGAGCAGAGGCCCTGGGGCTGAGGTCAGAATGACTCTGGGCCTGGGGAAGGATGGCCTTTGAGACAGGACAGAGACACAGATTAGACGAAGGAAAGGAGGCTGCCCTAGAGCGAACCCTTGCTTTCACCCACAACTTCTGCTAGACAGTGAAGAAAATAAACATTTACTCAGCAAATCTTCCAGCGCACCACTGCCCCAAATGTCTCGTAACAACGGGAAGTTCTAGGCCAGGGCTGGGGACACATGCCTTGGGAACATGAGGACCTGTGTTCAATTCCCAGGACCCATGTATATAACTAGGTGCCCTGGCCCACGGCTGAACCCAACACTTATGAGGCGGAGGCAACTGTGTCCCTGGGGTTTGCTGATTAGCCAGCCTAGCCTAATCTGTGAGCCTGCTCCAGGTTCCAAGGAAAAAAAGATTATCCCAAAGACACTAGCTAGATTGTTTCTGGGAAGAGCACCCCAAGTTGGACTCTGGCTTCTACACATATTCACACAAATATGCACCCCTCACACACTCTTGTGTGCATGTGCACGTGTGCTTACACTAACACACGAGCACACACACTCAGCTGCACACGCGTGAGCACACTGGTACACCCACATCCTCATACAACCAACCAACCAACCAACAAGGTTGGAGGCCCAGTGCCCCTTAGGGAAAGGAAACAGGGAAACCCTGTATGAGAGCCGCCAGTGACGGGATCCCAGCCACACAGAGGGAAGGGCTATGCCAGAGGAGCAGGGATCCGACAAGTGCCAGCCGTGAAGGCTGGGGGTGCCGCATCAGAAAATATGGCTGCTAGCTCCGAACTGCATCCCTGTTGTAAAAGGCTGGCAGGAGTGTTCTGAGGTGGGACGCAGGGAGGAGAGGGTGGGAAGAGAAGGGGGGAAGTAAGAGAGGAAAAGAGCAGAGGTGCACACAGGGGTGAGACGGAACCAGTGAGCCTGCCAAACCTCCGTCGGCCGCGGAGTGTGTGTAAATCAATAACCCTGTGCGTCGGCTTATCTCCCGGAGCCCATCCCCTTGCTTGTGAGAACATCTCCCTCCTCTCCTGCCATTCTTTCTCCCTGTGGCACCTGTGGGTGACGGTAGGTCCCCAAGAACCTCAGTGCTGGATACATCATTGCAGAAGTCGCTATGGCGACACACACGGGTGTAGGAGACGATGGAGAGCCCAGGACCCGTCCTGAGCCAGGAAACCCGGGGCTCTTGGTCCTCAGCCTTAACACAGTCCTTGATGATCACCAAGTTTATTAGGGGTCCTGGATGGAGGAGGGAAAGCGGGTGGAGGCGGGGATTGGGATTCCGGGGTCCAGGAGTGAGTTTGGGCATCCCGAGGCCGGTGAGGTGCTACGGGGGAAGGGACCGGACACGCATGGATTGCACCTGCTGGCGAGGAAGGGGCCCTCCCAGGGATGCAGGATGCCGGGGGAGGGGGCGTGGGGTTCCTCGGGGGGGGGTTTCTTACCATTCTCCAGGAGCATCACCAGGTCTTGGCAACCCTCGCCGACCTCACAGGTTTTCACCCCGGTCTTCCACTCAAGGGGCAGCTCCGAGGCATTTCGCACAGCCTCTATTACCCCCCTGTGGCAGCTCAGAGCTGGCACACCTGCCAAGAGAAGTCCCGCTCCATCTCAGCCGGTGACCCTGGGCCACCTCCTGAGACGATGTCCCCTTCCAGGCAGGATTTCTCACATACAGGGTAGCAGAGCAGTGACTCCCAGGAGGATCAGCACCGGCGTAAGGTTCATGATTCCAGTCCGTGGCTGGAGATGACTCCAGTGTGCCTTATGCAGGAAATGCAACCCTTTTATACATACCAGGGTTACCCAAGGCAGCCCAGGAAATGGAAAGTACTGCCTTGCAATAGACACCAGACCAGCGCCCCACCCTGAATCCACTACTTGAAAGGCTAGACTGTTTGAATAGTCCCTTCCCCCAGACTGAAGAGGACAGACCCAGCTTCACACTTTAGAACCAGGGCTCCAGCTCCTAAGCCCTCTTCCCTCAGACCCAGGACCCCAGCCCCAGGCCTCCTCCCTCAGACCCAGGACCCCAGGCCCAGCCTCCTCCCCCAGACCCAGGACCCCAGGCCCAGCCTCCTCCCTCAGACCCAGGGCTCCAGGCCCAGCCTCCTCCCTCAGACCCAGGACCCCAGGCCCAGCCTCCTCCCTCAGACCCAGGGTCCAGGCCCAGCCTCCTCCCTCAGACCCAGGACCCCAGGCCCAGCCTCCTCCCTCAGACCCAGGACTCCAGGCCCAGCCTCCTTCCTCAGACCCAGGGGTCCAGGCCCAGCCTCCTCCCTCAGACCCAGGGCTCCAGGCCCAGCCTCCTCCCTCAGACAGAGATCCTCCTACAAGAAGAACTGGAGTTATCCTGGTCCCCAATGACCCTGTGGTTCTTACCTTTTGAGCTACCCCTGTGACCCCTACCATGTTCCCAGGTACTACAGCAATCCCATTTCTTCATCTCGGGGCTACTCTGCTACCTTCTAGCCAGGTGGGGAAACAGGGCCTCTGCCTATGAGGATATTGCAAAATGTACCTCAGCCCTTCATATCTCCTTTCTGTCCCCCACTGGTGAGCTATATCTCCTTTTTTTTTTGTCATTTCTACATTGCTTTTCTATCTGTTCCTCCATCTTTAGAGCCGTTCCTCTGTTCTTCTCCTCACAGAACAATATAGGTCCCGGAGTCTTCACTCCCCCCCCCCCAACATGGGAAGGAGCTGAACAAGGCCGTGGCAGTGGTTGAATTCCCGTGAGAGGGAGCAGATTTCCTGAGGGGCGGGAGAGACGGTGACTCAGTGGTGAAGGGGAATGGCTGCCCTTATGGAAACCCCGGGGTTCAGAACCCGGCACCCACACGGTGGCTCTTCAGCCTTTTTCCTCCCTGGGTATGCACATAATACACATACACGCCTGAAGGCAAAACACGTGTGCACATAAAGGGAAAAGAGATCCAAAAAGATATTTCTTGACAATGCAAAATCTCCTTGTCCCAAAGGACTTAAGAAGTGGAAAGCTAGAAAATCACCATCAACGTCACCATCATCGTCACCATCATCGTCACCATCTAGAAAACCGGCATCCATAAATGCTGACCTGGTTTGGGAGTTATCATGCATCCGCTGGCAACACTCAAGTGTTTGCAATGCTGGCCGGGAACCCTGGGCTTCATGCACAGGAGGCAAGCACTTTATCACCTAGACCATGCCCCATCCCTCCTTTCTTTTCTCATTAGAAGTCATTGCTAACATTCATTCCCTGGGGGGAGACATAACGTCTACACCTCCTGCAAAGGTCCCAAGGACAAGCCAAGATACAGTTCCACCAAGTTCACCCTTGGGAGGCAATGGCTTTGTTAGGCTTATGGACTGAGCAATGGAGGTCCTGGGCGGGGGCCTTAAAGCTACTACACTGGAAGATGGCTGAGGCCCCCCTTAAAGCCACATAGGTGAGCCCCGCCCCTAGTCTTTCCCAGCCTAGGTGCTTCGGGCCTGTCCCTGAGGCCACTTGTAACTGGGGCGGCATCTCGCACACCTGTTGGGAGGCTGGGCCGCAGCCTCTAGTGACGGTCACACGACCCCCCTCCCGCCCCTCCCACTACAGCTGCACCAGGGAATGATCAAGAGTCAGCAAGCCCAGCTGTGGCGATGTTTTGTAAGTGGGCACAGCTGGATTCAGAAAGACAGCGGCAATCTAGCTGGGGGGGACGGGCCTGTCCAGCAGGTGCCAAGATGGCAAAAACGCCAGTTCTTTGTCTTAGAGGGACCCTGAAAATGCGGGGTGTGGGGAGGGGGCCGTTGGAGGTCAGTCGCTGTGTTCAGCCTAGAACCAGTGCTGGGCCCTCAGCCCACAGTCTGGCTGAGTCACCTGATTTCTCCTTGTCTGCAGGCAGAGAGGCTCACCTGCTGTGAGGGGGCCCGGTCGTGTTAGAACGTGCACCAGATGTTTACCCAGAGATTTGAGCCAGACTCCTGAGCACTTGAGTGGAGACGTCTCCATGGAGACTGGTGCAATTCTATACCTTATCCTCCAGACACTTCCTTAGAGATAACGATGCCACAAAACACCTTCCCAGATTTCCTTACTGGCATGAGAAGGAAGCACTTTCCCTCTGGGATTCCCCCGGCTCAGGCCTTGGTACCTGTCATACCCCTAATCTTCCTGGGGTGTGACTTCCTCCATCATCCTAAGCAGGGCCCTGCATGAGGCCTCTCGATGCTCAGGGCCAGTGGAGTGACAAGGGTCTCCCACTATGCTCATGTTCAGAACTGCCCAAGGCATGATCCTCTCTTCCCTTATTAACGTATTAGTATTATTATCGTTGCTAGAGGCGGGGCCTAAAGCCTCACAGGTGCTTGTCAAAGCCCTCTGCTACAGCCCCAGCCCCGATCTGCTACAGCCCCAGCCCCGATCTGATTGCTTTTCTACAGCCTGCCTCCTAGCAGGTGAATTGTTGGTACCTAGAGCACTCTGGGGGCGTTGGGTGAGCAAACAAGGGCTTCCTTAGGATGAGCAAAGCCTTGGGTTTGATCCTCAGCTCCAGCACCCCTGTAATCCCAGCACTCTGGGGGCTGAACCTGGAGGACCCCAAGTTCAAGGCCAGCCTAGGCTAAGTAGGGGGACTTGTGTCCCAACAAGAAGAGAAAAGAAAGGAAGAGGGGTGGAGGAGACGGCTCAGCATTAAGAGGGCTTTCTGCAGCAGACTGGAGTTCTGTTCTCAGCACCCATGCTGGGCGGTTCACCGCTGCCTGTAACTAGCTCTGGAGGGGCTGTCCAATCCCATCTTTTGGCCTCCAAGGACTCGTGCACATGCATATACATACCCACATAGACACGGATACACACGTTTTAAATAAAAAATAGAGAGAGAGAGAAAAAGAGAAGTGAAGGCTTGGTTCACAAAGCCAGGAAATGGTGGCCACCAGCAGGACCGCTGTCATTTATCACCGTTTCCGCTGCTCAGATATGCAAGCCGCTTGAATGATCCATTTCGAATCTCTTCACCTGCCTAGTGCTCTCAGGGAAAGTGAAAGTTATGCACTTGGCACAGAGGCTGACATTTGGGTTGAAGCACACATGATGAAGGGACATACTTATGTCTGCACAGTGCTTGGCAGGAGGACTTGAGTTCAAGCCCCAGAAGCCACGCAAAAAAGCCAGGCACGGTGAGTGGCTGTTGGGTCCAGGGGCACAAAGGGTGTGTGTGGGGACAGGCCACCGAAGTCTGAAGCAGAGGCAAACTTTAGTTTTAATAAATCACCATGGGGCACAAAGGACACAAAAAGCTTACTAGTTAGCTGGGACCACAGCCAGGCATGGAACTTCCAAAGCTGTGGCCATGTGGACTTCTTATAGTAAAATCAAACACCGGGGGTTCATCCAAGAGCTTTTACAACCTCGAGGTCAGGCTTAAAGTCACATTATGTTTTAAGTTTTTTGTTATCCCCCCCTTTGTTTTTTTGAGACAGAGTTTCTCTGTGTTACAGTCCTGACTGTCCTGGAACTCGCTCTGTAGACCAGACTGGCTTTGAACTCACAGACATCCTCCTGCCTTGGCCTCCCAAGTGCTGGGAGTAAAGGTGTGCGCCACCACCGCCTGCTACATTTTAAGTTTTACAAGTTTTGGTTATAGGATGTCAGGATGTTTGCGAAAGCCTGTGGCTAACACAGCCCCTTTCCACTGCCCCTGAAAGAATGCAAGGCAGAGAGTAGAGCCACATATGAGGACAGTTAAAAAGTAACTAAGGGTCCCATAGATACAGTGGTTTAGAAGCTACCCTTTGCTGGGAAGCTAGGAGGGGGGAGACAACTGTTACACGTTTATCTCTGTACACAGTGGTTGCCAGGATATCCCCTCTTAAGGCAGAAAGAGGTTAACAATAGCCTGGCAGTGGTGGCGCACACCTTTAATCCCAGCACTCGGGAGGCAGGGACAGGCAGATCTCTGTGAGTTCGAGGCCAGCCTGGTCTACAGAGCTACACAGAGAAACTCTAAAAAAAAAGTTAACAGTGACTGCCAGCTTTCTTTCTTTCTTTCTTTCTTTCTTTCTTTCTTTCTTTCTTTCTTTCTTTCTTCCTTCCTTCCTTCCTTCCTTCCTTCCTTCCTTCCTTTCTTTCTTCCAAAATGTGTTCTGGCTTGCAATTTTATATTTCTATATCCTGGACCCCAGCATTGGGGAAGCAGAGGCCCGAGGACTCTGGAGTACTTTCACAGACAGCCTGACCTAATCTTCAAGCCCCAAGTCCCCATGAGAGACTCTGTCTTTAAGCACAAACATATCAGAGGAGAGAATGGGAGATTCCTCAGAGGTTAAGGTGTTCGTTTCACAAGCCTGAGAACCAGAGTTCAGATCCCCGACCCCCACGTTAATGCCAGGTTGTAGCTGCATTATAGGAATTACTCAGGGAAGATAATGAAGGACTGAATCCAAAATCATCTTTAATGCTTTCTGAAGCCAGCCCTTCCTTTCCGCTCTCCTCTCTCTCTTTCCTTCCTTCTTTCCCTCCCTCCCTCCTTCCTTTCTTCTGTATTTGTTTGTTTGTTTGTTTTTACATCCCAAGGGCAGTTTCCTCTCCCTCTTTTCTTCCCAGTCCCTCCCCCCATCTCCCTTCCCCCATCCACTCCTCCTCCTCCATTTCCCTTTAAAAAAGGGCAGGCCTCCTATGGATGTCAACTAACCATGTTCCGTCAAGTTGCAATGAGACTGGGCACCTCCTCTCCTATTGAGGCTGGACAAGGCAGCCCCGTATGAGGAAAGGGTCCCAAACGCAGATGACAGTCAAAGACAGCCCTGCTCCCACCCGTAGGAGTCCCACAGGAAGACCAAACTACACAGTTGTAACACATGGGC